TGTTAAGACAACATTTGGGGACAGCTAGGTGGTGAAGTGGAAAGAGCTCTAGCCTAGGAGTCAGGAGGACCTGAGTTCAAAACTAGCCTCAGACACTTGACACTTACTAGCTGTGTGACCCTGGGCAAGTCACTTAAGCCCAATTGCCTCACCAAAAAAAAAAGGCAAAAAAAAAAAAAAAATAATAAGAGAGACAACACTTGATCTTTGTCCAGGAGGAAGGTTCTCATCTTGTCTCTCCAGTTCTGGCCAGTCACTTAAAGCACCCTGTGTTAGAGTTGAAAAGAATCATATAAACCACCTAAACCAACCTCCTCTTCTTACAAGGGAGAAAACTGAGGCCCAAAGAGAGAAAGCAATTTGTTCTGGGCCAATGTCAGTGTCAGGACTAGCGAATGCCTCACACCCTCAGTCTCCCGATTCCTAGACTTCAGTGCTCTCTTTCTGTACCATCCCCCTGGCCCCCCTTGACCATCCCCTCCTTAACCATCCCCCCAGGGGAGGATCTTCCATTGACAGTAGACCTGGAAGACACAAAAAAGACAAAAAAGAGTCCCTGCCTTCAAGGAGCTCACAATCTAGTGGTGGTGACAAATGTAAGTAAATAGATATATAATTATACCCAGAGAGCAGATGGAAGGCAATCTCAGAAGGAAGGGACTAGCAACTAGGAGAACCAGGAAAATCTTTCTGCCGAAGAATCCAGGTATTCTAAGTTGTTGCTGTTCAGTCATTTCAGTTGTATCCGACTCTTCATGACCCCACTTGGGGTTTTCTTGGCAGAGATACTGGAGCTGTTTGCCATTTCCCTCTCCAGCTCATTTTACAAAGAAGGAAACTAAAGTAAACAGAGTTACGTGACTTGCCCAAGGTCACACAGCTAGTAAGTGTCTGAGGCTGGATTTGAATTCGAGAAGATCAGTCTTCCTGACTCCAGGCCCAGCACTCTATCTGCTTCATCACCTAAGTAAAGATGGAGGGCATTCCAGGCATGGAGGACAGCCATGCCCTGTCATGTCTTGGAGTTGGGAGACCTTGGTTCAAATGGCAGCTATGATCATTTATGAACATTGGGATGTGACTTAACCTCTGTAGAAAACAGTTTTTTTCATTGTAAGAGACCTGCTAGGGGCTTGGACTGGTCCTGCCCAGAACTCAGGGGTCTGAGTAAGGACAAAGAGACCTTTAGGTTTCAGTACTTTACTGTGAGATTTGTCAGGAAAACCTGGATTCAAGTTCTGCTCTGTCACATTCTGGCTTTATGTCTTGGGACAAGTCATTTAACCTCAAAGTGCCCCCAGACAATTCTTTAAGATTCTCAATTGCAGAATTGCTGAAATGATCAGAAAAATGAAATAATGCCACCTAACATTTCTCTAGCACTTCAAAGTTTGCTAAGCACTTTACAGGTATGATCTGGGAGGTAAAGGCTATGGTTAGCCTCATTGCAGAGGTGAGGAAACAAAGTTGGAGAGAAGAAAAGGGATTTGCCTGGAGTCAAACATTAAGCGTCAGAGGCAGGATTTGAGCTCAGGTCTGTCTGACTTCAGAGCATTCTAGACACTGTGACATCTAGCTGCCTCATAGGCATGAACCAAAAAATAAAATGACATTAGTGCCAAACCAGCGGGCCAGGTTTTTGTACAGTGCCCTGGCCACTAGAGGGTGGCATTGTCACACTGGGAGCTTCCTATATATGTGACCTATAAGTGCCTGAGCTCCCTTGGTCCCCTCCCTTTTCCCTTCTCTCCCCTCTCCTCCCCCATCATTGACATCACTTTTCCATCTCCCCTCTCACATCCCCCAAAGGGGGCAGCCAGAGTGGAGAACTTGCTGGACTGGAATGAGCTTAATGGTATCTGTTCCATGAAGATCAATGATCTCTCAAGGTAGAAGGGAGCTTAGAGGTCAAGCAAGTCCAATCCCCTTGTTGTGCAAAGGAAGAAACTGAGTCTCACAAAGGAGAAGTGTTTTGCCCAAGGTCACTCAAGTAATAAGTGGCAGAACCAGGACTGGAATTTGGGTCCTCTGACTCCAAATTTAGGGCTGCCTCTCAATACTGATAGAATATGGTGATATTTCCAGAGCAGACAGTCTCTCCATTGTTTGATGTCCAGGTGCACTTTATAGGCCCCTCCACCCCTTAAAATACACACACACACACACACACACACACACACACATACACACAGAGGAAATGGGTGAAAGTTGGAAAGTTTAAGGTGTTGTGAAAGAGATGACAGAGAGAGAGAGAAACTCACATACCCAGAATCCACAAAGTGGTTTCTGAGAAGCCCAGCAGCCTCTGAGCGAAGCGCTGACCCCAACCCACGTCCCCACCCCCAAACACACAATCTCTCCCCGGAGACACTCACTAGGAAGCCTGGAATAGCCTTAGATGGAGTCATGATACCTATGTGGTATGATTTGATTGGTACCAACACTCCCCTACCTCAAACTAATCTTCCTCCCATCCAGTCACCAAAGTCAGAAATTCCACCATCAAATCATAGACTCTCTTAGTGAGAAAGGACCTCAGAGGCCAATCTATCCACAAGCAGGAGTCCTCTCTACAACAGAGATGACAAGAAGTCCAAGCCTCCCCTGGAAGACCTCTAGTGATGGAGAACTCATTTCTTCACTATTCTATTTTTAAACAACTCTAATAGAAAGTATTTCCTTCTATTCAGCCTGACTAATCTCTCTTCCTCTTCCACTCACTGATTCTGATTCTTCCCTCTGGGACCAAGCAGAGTAAGTCTAACCCTTTTTCCATATAAAAGACCCTCAAACACTTCAAGATAGCTATCCTGTCCTCTTTATGTCTTTTTAAAAATTTATTGAAACCTTCTGTTTTTATATCACCCTCCCCCACCCCCAGAGCCATTTCTTATAATAAAGAATAAAGAGGAATGAGGGGTGGGGGTGAAAAAATCCAGCAAAATTAATCAACACATCGACCAAGTCTGACACTATATGCAACATTCCACACCCATAATCTCCTAACTCTACAAAGAGAGGAAAGTAGGTTTTCTCATTTCTTCCTTGGGACATCCTCCCTAAGTCTTCTTTTTTCCGAGCAAAATATCACCATTTTCTTGAACTAAGCTTTATATATCATGACTTGAACTGCTCCCCCACCACTACCACCATTCTAGCTGCCCTCTGACAAGCTCCTATTTCTCAATGTCCTTCCTAAAATGGGGCATCCAGAATGGAACCCTATATTCCTGACAGTTTCTGGCTGGGGCAGGATTATCATTTCCATCACTCTGGATATCTGGCTTCTGTGAACACAGCTTAAACTCTTATGAGCTTTCTTGATTGTCCTATCATGCTGCTGACTCATATGAAGTTTGCTGCCATCCAGAAACCTCCAGGTTTGGTTTTGGTTTTTTGGTTTTTTTTTTTTGGTTTGGTTTTTTTTCCCCAGATATACTGCTGTCTCATCCTGTCTTCCCTCTGTGCTATACTTGTATAGTTGTGCCAGACTTAACATGTATCCTTATTAAATTTCATTCAGCCCATCATTTCTAGCCTGTCAAAATCCTTGTGGATCCTGATTCTCCCCCCTAGCATGTTAGCTATCTCTCTGAGTTTTATGTCTTCTGAAAATGTGATGGACATGTCATCTCTGTCTTCACCCAAGTAATTGATAAAAATGTTGAACAGCCCAGCACCATGGACAGATCCCTGGGGCACTCTGCTAGAGACCTCCCTCCAGGATGATACTCATATATCAACTACACTCTTTGGATAATGACGTTCAACCAGTTGTGAATTCACAGGATTTCAGCAACACCCTCCAGCCCACCCCCATACTCCATCCCTTGGTCCCTGCCCCAGAACCTCTAGGAAATTAGTCCCAAAAGCCTCATGCCACCATTGCCCCCTCTCCTAGTCCCACCCTGTCTTCTCAATATCCTGATCCAATACCCTGAAGTGTCCCAGCATCAATAAGATCCTGACCCAGAACTGACAAGGAGCTACAAATATAAGAAACCTAATAAAGTTAAATGAGGCAGGGATGGCTCAAAGCTCAGACAGATCAGGCATCTGTCCTCTCCCATGCTTCCCCCTGAGCAGACCCTCCCCTAAGGTAGGGAGATCCAGAGAGTGGACCAAATAAATATAGAATTTCAAAATTTGATGAAACCCCAGAATTGTCTAGCCCAATTCATACTTGAATAAGAAATCCCCTTGACAAAACCTCTGACAAGTCCAGCTTTTGTCTATATCCTTCCAGGGAAAAGCAGCCCCCCTACCTCCCAAGGCAGTCCATTCTATCTTGAAACAATTCTAATTGTTAGAAAATATTTCCTTAAATCAAACCTAAATCTACTTCTCCATAACCTCTATCCATTGCTCCTAGGTACAGACCTTGTCCTCAAGGGTCAAGTGAGCAAGTCTAATAATCTCTCTTCCCCATGACAGCTTCCACAATACTTGAAGACAGTTATCATGTCTCACCTCAGTCTTCTCTTTTCCAAGTCAAACATTCCCAGCTCCTTGAACTAAGCCTCATGTGGCATGGCTTCTAGTCAACTCATTGCTTCTAGTTTTCACACTTTCTCATCCAAGGATAAATCTCCCCAGCTAGTGGCCACACCATCACCCAGTGCAATAGCCCCTTCCTTCCTAGTCTCCCTCCCTCCAGCTGCTACCATTGGGACTTCATTCAGTAAATATTTCTTGAGTGCCCACTATAATCAAAGCATTGGGAGATTAAGACCTCCCTTCCGTCTTCTGCCCCACCTCTGCCTGGTAGTTCTCAATATCCAAGATCCCTTTTCCCTCTATAATTTCTGTCACTGCCTTTATTTCAGGCCCCTCTCAAAGTTCTCATATCCTCTTGCCTCCCAGCTTCCAGCTTTGTCACTTCTATTTTCAGCCTTCTGCCTCCCAGTCCCCCGTTAGTCCCCTCCCCCTCCCACCATTCCCCAACCCCAGCCTCCAGCCTTCGTCCCAGCCCAGCCCTAACCCCAGCCCCCAGCTCTCACTAGTGCATTTTTTGATGTGACTACCCTTCTTCAGGGCATGCCGGCTCAGTTTACAGTGGAAGTTGTCCTCCCAGAACTCAGCAAACCAGATATTTCGCCGATTGTTGTCCAGGGTCCGACTGGAGAAGTAACGGTCAAAACCTGATCCCCCCATTGAGGTGGGTGGGAGGGAGAGGGAAGAGAGAGCAGTCAGAGTCTGACCTTTCCCAATAAGCTTTTCTTTCTCCTCCCACATCATAGCAGCTACACTGGTAGGGAAGGGATAATGGCATAGTGGAAGGAGTAAGGGATTTCAAGTCTAGAGACCTGGTTCAAATCCAGACTCTGCTACTAAGTGTATGACCTTAGGTAAGTTGTATCTCTTCACTATTCCTCTGTAAAATCAATAAGTCTAAAAAGCAAGCAGTGTGAAATAGACACTCATAGTTTCATATTGAATCCTCTTTTTGTGTTCTGGTGTGCATTTGGAACTGTTTATGTATTTAAGGTCAAAATAATAACTCAATGGTTTTATGCAGCCAGTTTCCCTACTATCTTGGACCCAAACTAGCAAACTCCATCTCCTAGCTTCTTCTCACCTTTCCCCAACCCCTCACCATATGGTCAATGTATCATGTCAACAATGGTCACATCAACCTTGGGTGAAGGCCAGACAGAATTCTGGAACAATCACAGGTTACCCAAACCAGAGGAAACCTTAAAGATCATCTCATTTTCAAAAGAAGCCCCAAAAGGAGGAGGTAGTTTGCCCCAGATCATTCAGCAAATTAATACAATCATAGAACATCAGATGTGGAAGGGACCTCAGAGCTCAGAGATTACCTAGTCCAGTGATTCTCAATGTTTTGGGTTCCTTGAACCCCCTTCAACAACAATAGAACAACATATTGTCAACCCCCAAGGTAATTTAATATACTCCTCATAACAGTCTTTATAATTATTTAATTAAGCAGTAAATAATTGTCATTAAAGAATGAAGTGCCATTAAAAGATTCAGGGTAAATCCCTTGGACCATTATTGTGAACCCCCAAGGGCTCACGAACCACTACATGGGAACCACTGATCCAGTTTTCCTGAAGCATAAACCCCCCACTATAGCATTCCTGGCCAGTCGTCATCTCCCATTTGTATGAACACTTCTAGCGAAAGGAAACTCTCCACTTTTCTAGGTAATTCAGTTCATTTTTGGCCCCCTCTAATTCAGAGGTAGTTAGGTGGCTCGGCGGATAAAGCATTGGGTCTAGAGTCAGGAAGACCTAAATTCAAATCTGGCCTCAGACACTTACTAGTTGTATGACCCTGGGCAAGTCACTTAACTTCTTTCTGCCTCAATTTCCTCAACTATAAAATTAGAATAATCATAACATCTACCTCCCAGGGTTGTTGTGAAGATCAGATGAGACCATATTTGTAAAGTTCTTACTTTACAGGACCTCGCGCATAGCAAGTGTTCCATAAATGATTCCTTCTTTCCTTCTGTCCTTCCTTCCCTCCTTCCCTCCTTCCTTCCTTCCTTCTTTCTGTTCTTCCTTCCCTTCTCCCTTTCTCCTTCCCTTCTGTCTTTCCTTCCTTCATTCTTTCTTTCCTTCCTTCCTTCCTTTCTCTAACTGTGAAGAACACAGTAGATTCTCCTGCCTCCCAATCTAGGGATCCTGCCACAGCATCAGGCTGCCTCTCTCCTTAGGGTTCTCAACAGAACCCACTGTGTCTGATCTAGGGACAGAAAGAAGGGTACCTGATAAAAGGATTGGGGTTGTGACTAAGCATCTCCCTCCCCAATTAGATGGGTGACCTTGAATAAATCACTTCCCTTTTCTGAGTCTCCACTTCCCCATCTGGGCTGAATTAAATAATTGCCAAGGTGTCTTCTAGCTCTAAATCTATGATCCTAAGTGTGTTGTAATTTTGTCTCTTTTTGCCACAAAGAGCCATTTTATGGATTTTTGTTGTTGTTGTTTTTGTTGCCTGGATCTATGATTTATTTTGTTGATATGAGGAACTCCCAGGGAGTGCAGACTAGCAACTGTTTTGCCACTTTTTGACTGGGGGGGGGCCTGAGGGATTTGAGTGACTTGCTCAGGGTAACAGAGTCAGCAGGTATAATAGGCAGGATTTGAACCCAGGCCTTTATAGTCAGTTCTCTATAGACTTAGAGCAGGAAGAAACCTTAAAAGTCATCAAATTCAACCCTCTCCGGATGAGGAAATTGAGGGTCACTCAGGTAATAAGTGTAAGATTCAAGATTCAACCCCATGGCCTCTGACTCTAAATCCAATGCCCTTCTCCTCCCCTTTCACCACTCTGCTTACCCTACCCACTAGGCTAACCTGCCTCTCATCTTATGGATGTCCTACATAAATGCAGGTACTTGACAATGTTTTCTAGTGAAAACAGAAGTTGCCTATAAGGAGACAGAACAATGAAGACAATAGATAGGAGGGAGCTCCCCATCACTGGATTTGTACAAACAGAAGCAACATGCCCACCTGCCAAAAATGTTGTAAATGAAACTGCTCTCCATGGGGTGGGAGGTTGGCTGACCTCAGAGGACCCTTCCAACTCTGATTGGAGTTAGTGTCAGAGGATCTGGGTTCCAATCTTGACTCTGCCACTTACTAGCCCCGTGATCTTGAGTCACTTCACCTCCAGGAACCCCAGGCTTCACATCCATAAAATGAAGGTGTTCAGACTTAAAGACCTCTGAGATCCCTACTAGCCCTAAAACTCTTTCCAAGATTGTATGGCCTCCCTTAGCCTCAGTTTCCTTATCTGCAATATCAGGGGGTTAGATTCAATGGACTCTAAATTCCCTTCTCTCTCTAAATCTGTGATCAGATGGTGACCAGCTTGTACTCTAATGCCCTCTGCACTTGGGTGAAATAGCATTGTACCCTGAAGGGATGGCTAAATGTGCCATCATCTGGATGACTGAGTACAGATCCCTGAGACACAGCCCAGAATGGCAGAAAGAGCTCTAGGCTGGCAGCGAGGAGAGGGAAGGTCTTCTTCTTCTTCTTCTTTTTCCACTAACCCACTTCCTGACCTGGGTCACATCTCCCCTCCGGCCCTGAGCTTCCTAACCTGTAAAATGAAGAAGTGATTAGACTCAGTGACCCTGACGGTCCCCTCCAGCTCTAAAACTCAGCAAATCTAAGACTAAAGGAGATAAGAGGCACTGAGGCATTTGGAAAAGTGGAAGGCACTTCAGGAGTGTGAAGACATCTTGTTATTACCGCTAGAGAAAGGTCAGAGAAATATTGGAGCCTGAGGAGATGGGTAGAAGGGGTGAGAGGCTGTGAGTAAAGTGGAGGTTGGGAGGGTTGGTGAGAGCAGAGGAGAGGAGGTGGGAGGAGGGGGTAGACACAGGAGGAGCAAGAGGTACCTGCCCTCCCCCATGAGCATAGCATGCTACCCAATTAAGGTTATTACCACGCTTTGCTCGCCAAACCAGTTCCGCCAGATCGATGGGTTCCGCCCTGGAGTGACTCTCACGGACCCATCACCTGCAAAGTGCTCACTAGCCTCTCATTCGGGAGGTAGGGATGCCAAGAGCTCATGACCTCCTCTTCCCCTCTCCTCGGACCCCGGAAGAGAATCTAGCCTCATCAAAGAGCCTTGAAAGGAGGTGGGAGTGGAGGGCGGCAGGAGAGATGGGTAGGGGCTGCCTCCCCCTGACACAACATAGGATTTTATTAGCGTTTCTTTTGTATATGTTTTCTACTTCTTTTTCAATGTCTTCCACTGCTTTACATATGTGTGTGTTATCTTCTCTGAGAGAAGGTAAGCACCCCCAGGTCATTTTTATCTTTGAATCCCCAAATCCAGCACGGTTCCTGGCACATTATTGGTTGATTCTAGAGCTTGGAGGGCTCTCAGAGATCATCTGTCACAGTTCCCTTATTTTACAGAGATGGAAACTGAGGCCTAGAGTGACTTATCCAAGGTGATACAGTGAGAAAAGAACTAGAGCAGAGCCACATTTAGAACTCAGGTCTCCTGATTCCTGTTCCTTTCAGGATGAGGACAGGGCAAAGGAAGAGAAGAAACCCACCCTCAAGGTCCATACAAAGGCCTACACCTCCCAGCTAAAAGGGACTCCATGGGAACGGGGCCCAGGCCTGCTCCCTGGCCTAGGGATGGGGAGGGAAAAGAAGGGCAGCAGTACCCTGCCTACCTCGCACAGACATTCTCTTGGGGAGTATGGTGACGGCGCCTTCAGCCACCTCTTCCAAGTGCAGCACCGGAGAGATCTTGGAGCCCCAGCTGTCTGAGCCCATCCAGATGAAGTGGCCTGTCTGATTGGCCTTCCTGGCTGCCTCCAACACTCGCCTGTGGAGGACAGATAACAAATGGATCCCCCCCCCGCAACATCTACCTCTTTGGTCCCATCACCCACATGCAGGTCCTCTACCTCATATTGCCCCATAGCTAAGTCCTCCAGTCGCAGGCATCTATTTCACTCCCACCGCTCATCCCTCAACACCAATCCCTACATCTGCAGGTCCCTCTCCCATATCTGCCACATCCCTCAGTTTCACATCTAACACCCTTCCCCTTCCCCCAAAGTTCTAGGACCAAGTTTACATCTACAGGTCCCTGACTCACAGCCTCATCCCCCAGGCACAGATCTATCCCCCTACCCACCCACATACCCACTGTTTGGCACCAGGCCCACATCTACAGAAAACAATCACTACACGAGCCCCAGTGGCACATCTACCTCCTTAGTCCTCAGCACCAGCCCTACATCTTCAGGTCCCGGTCTCAGATATGTTTCACAATCCCCAAATCCCCAGCATATCTACAATCCCCCCTACTACCTCAGTGCCCACTTTGGTCATGCATCCACAAACTCTAATCCTGCACCTGCATGTCCTCAGCCACACTGGGTTCACACCTGCTCACTCAGTACTATCTCTGCCTAGCACCTCTTAGCCCCATTTGAAGAAGCAGCTTCCTCCACCCACCCCAATGCATGTCTTCCCTGTCTTGGAGCCTCTGCTCAATGTCCTTCTCTGTACTGAAATGCCCTCCTCAGCCCTCAGCCCCAGGCCCCATCCTCTCTAAGCCTTCCCTGACTTGCCACTCCATGGGGATTTCCCCCTCCCCTAGGGCATGTCTGCCATGCTCACTGCAGAGTCTGCCTTTGTGCTAGGAGCTCTTTCTATGAAGACAAGTCTCATCCCTCTAATTTTTTGTTTTGTTTTGTTTTGTTTTAAATCAAGTTAGGGTGCTTAATAAGCTAGCATTGGAGGCAAGAGATACATTGGTTTAAATCCTGGCTCTGCCAATTACCAGCTGCATGACCTTGGGCTGAAATCATTTCACCATTCTGAGTTTCAGTTTCCTGATCTGTAAAGTGGGCATGGTAATACCTATAGCACCTAACTCAAAGACTGCTGCGAGGATCAAATGAGGTCATGTTTATCTTAAAGCTCTATATAGATGTCAGCTATTATTACTAACCTTGCAGGATTGTTGTGATAAAAGCACTTAGCAAACTGTTTACAAATGTGAATTAGAAGCTCTTAAGTTCTGCAGGGCAAGATCTGTCTGTCTTCAACATCTGAATCTCTCCCAGTTAGAAACTGGGAAGAAGAGATGGAGAGCTGGAAAAAAATCTTAGCAAGCAGCATACTGGTTATTTAGTAAGTGCTGGATGAATGAAGAAAGGGATCCCTCTAACTGTACCCCAGACATCACTTCGGGAAGAGGAGGAGGCATGGAGAGAAGGAGAGGTAGGCGTGAGTCTCTCCTCCTTACAAATGGAGAGAAGGGTGCTCAGAGAGGTTGACTTGACTAAGGTCACTCAGTGAGTGGACGGCAGAACTTCTCACAACTCACTTCACAAGCAGATGAGTTGTGCTCCTTTGGACAAGAGAGGGACCAGGGATGAAGCCTTGGAGCAGCAGTGGGGCGGGACTCAGGACCATCCTCCAAAGACAAAGACAAAGCCACTTGTCTGTCTGCTTGTGTCTCACCCCCAACCTGTGTATCCAGGTGATACCAGGCCACACCAAGTGCATACCAAGGGCAGTCTTGAAAAGGAAAAGTACTTCCCAAAAAGAGCAGCCTGAGGGCGTGAGTAGAAAGGGGTTAGAAGTGGAGTGTTGCTACGTAAGGTAGGGCGTTTATGGACTGATAAATTCAGATCCTCTTTTGTACCCAACGGGGAATAACATCTCCTATCTAAGAGAGAGCTTCTGGCGAGGGCTGATTTTCCAGAAATTCTTGTCTCCCCCCTCCCACCTCAACCCTTTGTGGCCATCTCCTCCTCCCAGAAACCTCAGCCAGAGCTGTTCGAACATCTATCTACTCTACTCACTCCTTCCTCCTCCTATTGCTTTCCTCCCACAATCCCCTCACCTGCCAGGTGGCTCCCAGGTCATCTCTAATAGTAGGGATGGGTAGTTTTCTCAGAACCCAAACCCACATTCCTATTATTACCCTCCCTGCATCCGGCCCTTGTCCCCAGACTCCGGACCCACACCATCCCCACAAAGTCACCCACATTTATTTTTACTCCATTTGCCTCTGAGAATGCATGTGGATTTCCAAAAATGATCTAAGTCTGATGCCCAGCTTCCTGCTTCCCGTAGCTGAGGACAAATTAAACACCTCTCTACTGAAGCCCCAACCTTCCCCTTGCCCCATTTTTCTCCTGCCTAGAACAAAATCCCAGTATCTCCATCCTTTCCTCCATCAGGTTGGATTCTCATAACATCTACACTGGGGCAGTGTGACCTTGCACAAGTCACATAAGCAGGTATCCCCCTTTGTAAAATGAGAGAACTGGCCTAGCTGAGCTCTGATGTTCTGTGAATCCATGACTTTGGACTTCCTTTACACAATCTTTTACATCCATCGTTTTGTTTGATCCTCCCAACAGCCTTGTGAGGCTGGGCAGACCAGATGTTTCTATGCCTGTTTGACTAGTGGGCCCCAGAGAGTTTAAGTAGCGTGCCTAAGATCACCCAGCTGTGATTGAGACAAAGGACGAAGACTCCTTGACTCGAGACTCCCCCAGTCTATCCACTGCATCTTGACAAATTGTCAACTCCTTGCTCTGCTGTCCGATGTCCTTTGCTGGTGATGGGGACGAACAAAGGAAAAAGAGGGACACACACTCCCTGATCTCAGGGAGCCCCCAGGCTGACTGATGGGAGCAGACAGTTCCCGACTTCAGGGAGCCCCAGGTCTGATGGGAGAAACAGCTCTTATCCTGCAGAAAGAGTGCTGAATTTGACATCAGAGGACCTGGTTTCAAATCCTACTCTTGGTGATTTTAGGCAGATCCCTTAACTTCTCAGTTAAGTGATTCAGTTTCCTCATCTTTAAAACAAGTGGACTTGATGTGACATTCTTATCTCCCAAATCTGAGCATTTCCCCTGGCTGTCCCCTATACCTAGAATACTCCCCCTCCTCAACTTCCTTTCCTGGTTTCCTTGAAGCTTCAGCTAAAGTCCCACCTTCTATAAAGAGCCTTTCCAAATTCTCCTTAATCTTAATGTCTTCCTTTTGAAACAATCCCCAATTTATCTTGTATATAGCTTTCTGGGACATAGTTGTTTGCATATTGTCTCCCCCATCAGACTGTGAGCTGCTGGGGAGCAGGGACTGTCTTTTACTTTTCTTTATATCTCCAAAACTTAGCCTGGCACACAGTAGGCACATAATAAGTGCTAATTGACTGACTCTAAGATCCCTTCCAGCTTTAGATGTATAATTCCATAAGCTCCAATAAGAGGCTCCCGATTGAAAAGAGAACCACAATCCTTGCCCTCAGTTTGTTAGCAGAGACACAGCCCCTGCTCCCAGGGAGTTTAATGTGGGAGACAAGAGCAAAAACTCATAGGAAAAAGGACCACGTAGGCTAAATCTAGTATAGCTTGAATTCTGCAGAGTCGAGGAGTAATCAGAATTAGGGTTAATCTGGCAAAGTTTCCTGGATGGGACAGTTTTTGAGCTGTGAATTCAAATTAGGGGAGGGAGATGAATTGACACCCATAACAGGGAATGACCTTATTGAAAAAAAAAAGAAAGAAAGAAAAGAAAAAGAAATCTAAGAAGATACACAATTAAGAGCAAGTAGAGAGGGGCAGAGGTCACACCAAGAGCTAAGGGGAACTCGTAGGGAAACAGAAGGATAGCAGCATGTGTAGCAGGACCCAGAAAGGGCTTAGCAGCCCAACTGCTTTGTTAAATCAATTCTTAATGAGTAAAATTGGGGAAAGATGTTCACACAATTAGGGAGTAATAAAGACCTTGTCAATACAGTGGTTGATTAAAAAGCAGTTAAGGGAATATCTGGCAGCCGACGGCGGAAGCAACGGGGGCAGTAGGAGGTGTGGGTCCCAGAGTTCTAGGAAACAGCAGATTGGGGATGGGGATGGTCTAAGTAGAGACTATGTTCACCCAAGCAGAGAGGGAGTCATTTTTGGAGCCGAGTGCTGTCTTCTCCATCTGAATGGAAGCTTTCTGAAGATCTGAACTAGTTTCATTCTTGCCACTCATCCCCCATCAGATTGGGATCTCCCCAAGGGCAAGTGTTATGTCCCACTCACCACCCCTTTATCAAATTGGGAGCTCCGGAGTGCTAGGCTTGTAATAATTGTCCAGGTAGGAAGGTGAATAGCTATAGGACTTGGTACATATTTTTTTTCTGACCAACCTGGAGGAAAAAAGTTTGTGTCAGGGTCCTTACCAGATGGATTCTCCCTCCTTTCCCAATTTACGTGCCACTGGGCACTGTGGCATCACCCAGCCTGTCTGCCTTGGGCCCTCTCAAAGTCGCTGAATCCTCAGCCTGTCTCTTTTTCCCCTCTCCCCCAGCTTGTCATGAGCGACTGACACTTTCCTGGCAACCTTACAGACCACATTTGCTGAGTTCTAAACATCTGTCTCCAATGCAGGCTGGGTCTCAGCTACTAATCCCCCCACACACCCCAGAAGCTCTCTGGAGGGTAAGGCTATGATGGTCTAGTATTCAGGTCTCTACCCAGCCTGCTGCTTCCCTGACTCATCTGCCATCCTAGACTTGGGTCTGTCTCAGCTCCTTCTGCCATCGGGCTCACCCTGCTCACTCCCACAGCACAAGACTTGTCTGCTCCTTTGCCACTGCAGGGAGAGCAGTGGGGGAAGGAAAGAGGAGATAGAAGAAGGGAGTAAAAGGGGAGAAATGGGTGACAGGAGGGAGAGAGGAGAACAAAGGAGGAAAGGATCATAGGATTTAGATACAGAAAGGATTTTAGAGATCATTTACTTTCTCAATCCTCTTTTTACAGAGAAGGTAACTGAGGACCAGAGCAGGAAAATAAAAATCATACTGGTGCCTAAAATCATACTGATCATAAATAGCAGAGCCAGAATTTGAACTCAGGTCCTGGCCCCAAATCTAATGCTCTTTTCACTACATTCCTTACTGAAAAGGGAAAAGAGAGAGAGAATAGAGAATGAAGAAGACAGAATGGGGAGACAGGGAGACAGAAGACTATATATGGTATGAGATGTTTTGCTGTTGTTGAGTTGTTTCAGTTATGTCTGACTCTTCATGACCCCATTTAGGGTTTTCTTGACAAAGATACTGAAATGGTTTGCTATTTCCTTCTCTAGTTCATTTTACAGATGAGGAAACTGAGGCAAACAAGGTTAAGTGGCTAATGTCTAAAGCCAGATTCGAATTCAGGTCTTCCTGACGCCGGGCCTGGCACTCTATCCATTGTGCACCTAGTTGTGTGTGTCTGTGTAAATATGTATGTCTATATGGATATATGTGTATAAATATGTATGTATACATATACATGGGGGGGGCAGAGCCAAGATGGCAGAGGGAAAGCAGTGACTGTCTTGAGGTCTCTCCCAAAGCCCTCCAAATACCTAAAAAAATGGCTCTAAACAAATTCTAAAGCAGTAGAACCCACAAAAAGACAGAGTGAAACAAATTTCCAGCCAAAGACAACCTGGATGGTTGATCAGAAAGGTATATTGCGCCGGGCGGGGAGAGGAGCGTAATGCGGTGTGGATGAGCAGGCCGCAGCGACCCTGGAGCAGGCCTCAGAGGACTGAATTGCGGGCAGCTGTGGTGGTTTCCAAACTTCTCAACCCAGGAACGCCAAAGACAACTTAGAAGGTCAGTGGGAAAAGTCTATGACTGTGGTGAGAGAAGAGCTAGGTCTCAGCCATAAGTCTCAAGCGCGGCCCAGGGCCGTGGCTTTTTCCTGAGCTTCTGGCCCACAGACAGAGGGAGAATCGAGTGGCTGATCAGAGGGGGATTTCAAGAATCTCTTTGCCAGTGCTGAGGTAGGAATCTCTTGCTTTACTGGTGCTTGGATCTGGGTCAGAGTTCTGAGGGATGGTCCTGGGGCGAGGAGGAGCGCTGGTGTGGTGGAGCTTGTTGTGGTGGTGGAGAGAAAACACCTCTCCCCTTATCATAGCACCTTGGAAGAACTGAAAATTTACAGGTCCCTAGAAGTACCTCTGAAAACAGCTGTACAAACCCCCGAAGCTTGGGACAGTACACTCTTCACATTGGAAGCAGACTTTTACCTTAACAAAGAGTTTAAAACTCAAGTAATTGGCCGGGATCATGAGTAAGCAGCGCAAAAAGAGTCAGACTATATTATCTTACTTTGGTGACAAAGAAGATCAAAACATACAACCAGAAGAAGACAACAAAGCCAAAGTTCCTACATCCAAAGCCTCCAAGAAAAATATGAATCAGTCCCAGGCCTTGGAAGAGCTCAAAAGGGATTTTGAGAAGCAAGCAAGAGAAGTAGAGGAAAAACTGAGAGTGATGCAAGAAAATCATGAAAAATAAGTCAACAGCTTGCTAAAGGAGACCCAAAAAAATATTGAAGAAAATAACACCTTAAAAAAAATAGCCTAACCCATATATATGTTACAATATATATTTCCGCTGCTGATTTACTAAGCTGTTCAGCACCAAAAGGTCCCCTGAAGAATGGGGCAAAGGATTCACACCTCTCTTCTTTCTCTCCCTTCTCAGAACCAGATATTACAACTCATTTACATATCTGCTGGCTGATAATGGAATTTTACTAGTTAATAAACATTAGAATACAACTCCTTCAACCATCCTTAAGTCCAGTTGTGAGGGCAGGGATATGGCGGCGGGGTCCTGGGAGTGCTCACAGTCTGTCTCCTCCCCTCTAGCCTTTCTTGTCTCTCTTCCTCTTTCTCCAACTCTCTCCCTGTCTCTCTCTGCCTCTTCCTCTCTCAATTCAATCCTTCCTTTTTCTCTCTGTCCCTCTCTTTCTTCCTTCCCCATCTTTCTTTCTTTGCCCCTTTCCCCAACTCTCTCTTGGTTCATCTCTAGCCTTCGTGTCTCCCCCCACACCCACTTTCCATCTCTGTGTGTCTCTCTGTGCATCTCCCACTGTCTCTTTGTCTGTTTCTCTGTCTCTGCCTCTCTTCCCCCTCTCTCATTTCTTTCTCTCTGTATTTCTGCCCTTCTCTCCACCTCTGTCACTCTCATTTCTCCCATCACTTTCTGTTTCTTCTTGTCTTTATCTTCTTCTCTTCTTCCCATCTCTCTGTCCTACCCCATTTTCTGCCCCTCCCCCAATCCCTTTGTCTTTCTCTTCCCCAACAGCAGGAAAGAAAGCTGCAAGCATTCTACCCGATTTCACAATCATCCAACCCCTGGGAAGGATGGGTGGGTTAGAGGCAAGGAGGAGGTTGGGAAAACGGGAGGAAAAGGAAGGAAAGGGCTTGGGGTGCACCTGTCCCATCACTGCCCCCTGGTGGGCAGACCTCATAAGGAAAAACAGCCTATCTGCCCTGCCCTCATTCCTAAAGGGGGGGGGGGTAATAACGGGATTTAGAGTAGGAATGGACCTCAAAAGTCATCAAATGCAAGCCTCTCGTTTTACAGATGAAGAAACTGAGGCACAGAGAGGTTATGAGATCTTTCCAGCCAGGGTCACTCAGCTAGTAACTAAGGCAGGATTTGAACTCAGAACCAGCACCCTATCACCTAGAAGCTGCTTTATACTTAACTTTTATACAATGCATTAAGGGTTTGAAAAAGCACTACATATATATGTGTGTGTGTGTATATATATATATATACACACACACATATATATACTATGTGTATATATATACATATATATGTGTGTTTATGTATATACATACATACACATACATATATTTGGGTGTATACACATATGTATGTGTATATATCTATATATAGATATATACACAAATATTCTATTTAATCTTCATGACAACTTTGTGAGGATAGGTGCCATTATTATCCCCATTTTACAGCTGAGAAGACTGAGGCTGAGAAAAGTTAAGTGATTTGTCAGAACTACTAAGTACTTGAGACTGGATTCACACTCAGGTCTTTGCGACTCCTAAGTCCAGCACACTTACGTACCACAACACCTAAACGAATCACAGAATACTAGAATTTAGTAACAGAAAGGGACCTTATTAATTTTTTTAAATTATTTTTAGGCAATTGGGGTTAAATGACTTGCCCAGGGTCACACAGCTAGTAAGTGTCAAGTGTTTGGTCTGAGGCCAGATTTGAACTCAGGTCCTCCTGACTTCAGGGCCTGTGCTCTATCCACTACACCCCCTAGCTGCCCCTAGAAAGGGACCTTAGAGACTACCTAGTCTAACCCTTCTGAAACTGAGACCCACAGAGAGGAAGTGACTTGTCCAAGGTCACAAAGTGAGTTAGAAGAGGCAAGGCTAGGACTCTCATCTCCTAACTCCATTCCTGAGATCTTTCCATTCTACCATCATCATACCTCATCCTTGTCCTCTGGGGCCAAGATCATAGACCTATAGGTGCTAGACAGGACCTCTGAAGGCATGTGGTTTCAACTTCCTTCTCCCACTTTACTGATGAGAAAACTAAGGTTAGATGGCTTACCCAAGGTCATAGAGTATCAGAGCTAGAGCTCGAACCTAATGCCTCTCATTTCAGGTACAAAACTCTTTCCATTACACCATATGCTCCACACTCCCCAGGCCCATCTCCTACCTAGACTTTGGGAGACACAGATACCCCACTCCCACCACACACCCCCAGCCAGATCTCAAACCATTAACAAACTCTCCACATATGTCCACCCACTCCTCCCCTCCCCCCATTCCCATCTTTGTCCCAGCTCCCCCTCTCACCTGATGTCATCCTCATTGGCAAAGATAATGACTGCCCTGGCGTTGGAGGTCTCTAGAAGGCGACGAATGATTTTGTCAAATTCCCCAGGCTTCGGTTCCCTGGGAATCTTCACTGACTGGGCTATACATACTCCTCCTGGAAGCAGAGGGGTGAGAGGCATCAAAGTAGGAACCAAAACCAGGAAAACACAGAGGAAGGGAAAAGGTGAACACAAGAAACTTCAGAGATGAGGCAGTTTCACAGATTGTTTAGAGCTGGAAGGGGCCTAACAGACTAAATCCAATATCCTATATTTATGGAGCAGGAAACTGAGAGGTTAGAAATAAACAGAGGTTAACTGGAAAGACTTACATGAACTGATACAAAGTAAAGTGAGCAGAACCAGGAGAACAGTGGACATAGCAACAGCAACATTGTACGATGATCAAGTGTGAGTGACTTAGCTATTCTCAGCAACACAATGATCTAAGACAATACCGAAGGATTTAGGATGGAAAATGCTATCCCCCCTCCAGAGAAAGAACTGATGGAGTTTGAATGCAGATCAAAGCATGCTATTTTTCACTTTCTTTATTGTTTCCAATTTTTTTTGGTCTGTGTTTTCTTCTACAACACAGCTAATAGGGAAATGTGTTTTGCATGATTTCCCATGTATAATCCATATCAAACTGTTTGCCCTCTAAAGGAAGGGTAGGGGAGGAAGGGAGAGAATTTGGAACTCAAAAATGTTTTTAAATATTAAAAACTGTTTTACATGCAATTGGAAAAAATAAAATATTAAAAAAAAATTAAGCCAAAAAGATAAAAATTAGAGGTTAAGTGACTTGTCCAAGATTACCCATACACTAAGTAACAGTGCTTTCCCTCTGTTGCTTAGCTCCAAATCATCCTGTATATATCTTATTTGTACATAGTTGTTTGTAGGTTGCCCTATTAGACTGTATATTCCTTGGGAGAAAGGACTGTCTTTTTGCCTTTCTTTGTACAGCACTTAGCACAGTGGAATATAGCAGGTAATAATAAATGCTTGTCTACTTGACTTGAGCTAGCATTAGAATCCAGGTTCTCTGATTGAATCTAGTGCTTACTATAGCATTGGAAATATGAACTTTGTCATTACTTAAAAGAGAATATTTTTAAAAATCAATATTAAAAAATAGATGAATGAATGGATAGAAAAAAATAAATAGATTAGTAAGAATAAATAAATGGAAAAAAGAATCTGGTTAATCCTAATAATATTTCCATAGATCTTTGAACTCAGTGGGGTGGATACTTCCTCTAGGAGTATAAGTATTCCCTTTACAGATACTGATAACAACCCCCTCTGCTGGTCCAGCTTATGCAAATTCCTGCCCTTGCCTTCCTGTAAATCCTTCATAGACAAGGTTCATCCACAGAAGCAGTCCTTTGTGTCTCTTAACATTTCCTGGTGACCAGGGTCTAATTCTAGCAGTCCATCTGTTATCTCTTCTTCTTGCTAACCCACCTCCCTTTCTAGTCTAGAAACAATCAATAAATCAATCAATAAATATTGAGTGAGCTCTCACTATGTGCCGGGAGCTTCTCGAGGAACTCTGGAATACAAATACAAAGAAAAGAGATAATCTCTACTTGCAATGAGCATTCATTCCAGTGGGGAAGACAAGAATATATAAGAATTATATGCTATACAGTAACAGCAACATTGTGTGATGATCAACTATGATTGACTTAGCTCTTCTCAGCAATATAATGATCCAAGACAATTTCAGAAGACCCATGATGGAAAATGTTATCCACATCCAGAGAAAGAACTATGGAGTCTGAATGCAGATAGAAACGTACTATTTTCACTTTTTTTTTGTTTTTCTGCTTCTTGTTTCTCTTAGCTTTTCCCTTTTGTTCTTTCTTTCACAACATGACTAATGTGGAAATATGTTTACATGATTGCACATGTATAACCTATATCAGATTGCTTGCTGTCTTTGGGGAGGGGAGATGGGAGGGAGGGAAGGAGAAAAAAATTTGGAACTCAAAATTTTATAAAAAATGAATGTTGAAAACTATCTTTACATGTAATTGGAAAAAATAAAATACTATTTCCAAAAACAAAAAGAAATATGTGCAACATAAAGTTAACAAATACATACACACACAAAGTAGTTAAATATAAGGTAGTCTGAGGGGAAGAAAGTTCTTTGTCAGTAGTTTCAGAGGCTAATGATTAGAATTGGAAGAGACCTTGAGTAATCACCTAATCTAATCCCTTTGTATTATAGATGAGAAAACTGAAGCCCAGAGAGGGGATGTGAATTTGCCCAAAGTCACATGATTAGCAAATAGCATAACTTCAACATGGACACATTTTTTCTTTCCTTCTCCTCTTCCCCATTAGAATGTGAGCTCCTAAAGAAATATGGAGTCTGAGTGCATACTGAAGCATACAATTTTCACTTTTTTTGTTTTTTTTTCTTTTGTGGTTTTTCCCTTTTGTTCTGTTTCTTCTTTCACAACATGACTAATGTGGAAATATGTTTAACACGATTGCACATGTATAACCTATATCAGATTGCTCACCATCTTGGGGAAGGAGCAAATTTGGAACTCAAAATCTTACAAAAAATGAATGTTGAAAACTATCTTTACATGTACCTGGAAAAAAATAAAATACTGTTAAAAGGAAAAAAAAGAATATGAGCTCCTTGAGAGCAGAGACTTATTTTTGTATTGTGTTTTCCCATGCTTAGCACAGTGTATGGCACATAGTAAGCATTTATGAATTTTTTTCATTTTTTAATATATATACATATATATGTACATGTGTGTATATATATTTATGTATACATGCATGAAGGTATGCACACATCAGAAGACAGAATTTGACCAACGATCAGTAGTCATTTTTGTATCATGGATACCTTTGGCAGTCCAATGAAGCCTATGCACCCCATTGGAGTCCGTCTCCAGTCCTGATCTATATCTGGCCATTGGACCCACATGGCTCTGGAGGAGAAAGTGAGGCTGGTGACTTTTCACAGCCCTCCCTCACTTAAATCCAATTCACTTTCAAGTCATGGCATCACTTCCCGATGTCATGGTCCTCTAACTGACCACATCTCAGAACATCATTTTTAATAATCAAAGGAAATGCTACACCTCAGTTAGAGGTTAGTGAAAATAAAGATGTGATATCTTTCTCATTCTGGATGCCCTGAAATCCATCCCTGAATCCCTAGTGTCACTAGGTTAAGAACTCCTGAGTTAGATGAGCTAAAAGGGTCCTCCCATATTAGAAAAGTCTTTACAAGGTGCCCAGGTTTGTACCAGGTGCTATAGAGGGGATCAAAAATATACAAGATATGATTCCGGTCTTCAAAGAGTGTATAATCTATTCCAAAAAATGTCAGGCAATCACATCTGTATAAAGCAGATTTGAGCCTGGTTGTGTATTCTATTTCTGCTTGTTTCCCTGTGATAAATGGTATGGGTTCTGGTTTTCCTCATCTATGGTTCTTCTCCAGATTCCTAAAGGTGAGAAGGTGGGAGTGTCTCTCTCCCCATGCCAACTCTCCCTTCTAACCTTCTATTTGTTTATCTGGCCCAGTGGAAAGAGCATTGGCTCCATGAGAGGAGCTGGGTTCAAAATGTACCTCTGACACCTCCTACCTATATGACCTTGGACAATTCACTTAACTTCCCTGGTCTTCAGGTTCCTCATTTGTAAAATGATAGCGTTAGACCAAATGGCTTCTGAGGACCTTTCCAGCTCATTAATCCATGATTCTTTTGCTCCAGCCTTAAACCAATTCACCTAGAGAGGGGTAATGTGTATCTCCCTGTATATAGAAGAAGGATGTAAGGGCTAAGATGGGGACTGAGGTCAAGTGCACAAGAGAAAGAAGACTGTGGACCAGTGAACCTGGGGGGAAGGGGTCTCTGGAGGACAGAGAAGAGGGTATGGTCAGTCCCTCTTATGCTTGAGTGATGATCACAGCAGTCTGAACTGAACCTTCACTTCCTGTTTCCCTACACCCCCCCAGTTGCCTAAGAAGGGATTTATAAGCTTCATGAGGATAAGAACTGCCCAAATATCTTTGTATTCCCAGTTCCCTACACTGTGCCATGGACATAGTAGGCACTTTAAAAGTGGTTTGGGACACTATGGAGGAGTTCCTTTAAAAACCAAGAGGTGACTCCTGAAAAGAACAGGTGTGCAGAAAGCAGGCACTGTGAAATGTCCCTGGGCAGGGGCTTTTCATCTCACTCCAGGCAAAGAACCCCAGAGAAAGACATAGGGATCCAGGTGAGCCCAAGAAGCTATCCCTGGCTGTTCGACTAATGGGACTGGGCAGGCACTCAGCTCTCCTGCTAAATCTCTCCATATGGTTTCCTTACAGTTGGAAATTGGGCCAATTGAGTGGTTTTCTCCCCCATCTGGGAAGCCAGATGGACAGAAAGGATGGAGCTGGAGGGGGGGGCAGGGATTAACTGCCTGGCACTGAGAAAGGAGGGAGGAAAGAAGAAAAGGAAGGAAGGAAGAAAAGGTTAAAAAAGGAAGGAAAGAGAAGGGAAAGGAAAGTAGGAAAGGGAAAGGAGAGGAAGGGAGGAGAAGTGAGAGGAGGAAGGGGGAGGGGGAGAAGAAGGGAAGGGATAAAGGAAGAGAGTGAGGGAAGAGAGAGGAATAGATGGATGATAGAAAGGATAGAGAAGAAAGGAGAGATAGAAAAGATGTAAGGGCAAGGAGACCAGATTCCAAGTACCTTCTCACTTCCAACTCACCCTCCCGAGCCTGAAAAGTTTCCTCTCACACACTGTTTTTTAAAGACTACTATGAGGACCTCTCTGTGGCATTAACAGGGAAGCCAAAGTGGGGAGCATTTCACCAGAGGTTCTTCCTGAGTCTCAGCTATTTAGTGTATACAAATATAGGCATACATACATACACACACAAACATACATAACACAAAGGATACACACAGAGCTCCAGGATCCTAGAATCATTACAATTCACACAGGAAATACTTAGATGCACTTTTCAAACCCTTTCCCTTAGGCACACAACTACTTCACATACACATGCAACACGTTTTCTCAACTGCAGACAAACAAATGTGGCTCATTCATGTGCTTCATGTACATCACATGCAGACATT